CCTTGAAGACTGAAAGGAAGCGGGGTGACTGATCCAAAGCGGAAGCTTAGGACAAATGCCGGTCGTCGGATTCAATAAACCACAATGAACGAATGAATCAAGCAGAAAGGAAAAAACAGAGAGAAAGAGATAGGAGAAGGGAGGAAGGAGTCGACGAGGAAACGAAAAACGAGGAAGCCGCGCCACGTTTCAAAGGGGCATTCAGAAGTGGAAGAAGACGAAGAAGAAATGAAAAGAAATTTCGGGGTTCTTTTGTTCTTGCCTGTCTTTTGCATGGGGGGTCTGGATTTTAGCTTGGTTTTATATGAGTTGTCGAGCTGCGGATCGCCGACGACGCCCCCTGCGAAAGCTCCCTCTCCCTCCCAACTACTCTTGTCTTTTCTTTTTTTCTTTTAATATAATTTTTTTTTTCTATTTTTCATGTAACAACAGAACAGCTGCAACAAACAGTGTCATGTCATGGTCTGTCTCACTCAACCCCTTCACTTAGCCCTCTTCCATACTCACTTCCTTTCACCATCTCTCCCTCTCTATCTTACCCTTATTTTGGACCCCTCTCCCTATATCCCCCATGGATCAAATACTTGTACCATCTTTTTTATTTTTTATAATAATTATTGGAAGTTTTTAATTGATTTTCATATTACATTGTGATGAAAAGAAATTAAGATTAATAATAATATTTATAACATTTGAGTACAGGTACTTTATCTATTATTATTTATAAAAAAATAAACAAAGTAATTGAACTTCTTAAGCAAATAATTAAAGAAACAAAATAGAGATTTGGTTTAGCTGATTGATTCCACGTGAAAGTTAGCCCAAGTGTAAGCCAACTGGGTTTAAGCCAACTTACTAATCTCTGCTTAATCTCAAGTTTTGGTAACATAATCCCGACAGGAAGCAGAAAAGACAGTGCCCGAATCAAAACAAGAAAGCTTTGGTAGGATAATCAGCTGCCTTTTCTGCCACGGTAGAATTAATTAGTAGACGGGGTAGTTTTCTATGTTCTCGAGATATACCATCCATCTTGAATTTATCATTTTGCCATGCTCGTTTCGCATATCAAAAATATGAATAATCATCCAAGTAAACCCTTTTTCTCCACTCTTGTTTTGCACATAAAAAGTTTAAGTTAAAAATATATATGTAATATATTTTTTAATAATTTTTATCATATATTTTATCTTATTTTCGATTATGCTGTCACGATTTTAACATTATGGGTTTATAAATCACATTTTTATGAACTCTTTAATTAATACTTATTAGTTATTGATGAATCTGTTTTTAGACTATTGATCTGTTTGCATAAGTGATAAGTATAAATTCATGAGTCCATGATATCTATTTCATTTTGACAAGAAGTTGAGAGAAAAAAAATGAAATCACTTGTTTTTGAAAAAAAAAATACATATAAAAAATTTAAAAATTTTCAACGGTAACTTCATGTCGCGGTATATATCCATCCTTAACTGTTTCCTTCCATAAACATACATAAAAAGACAAATCACGTAATTTTTTATTTTTTTTATAATTTTTATGACAATTAATATAGCATGTAAGCTTTTCAAGTGATTTTAATCGACTATAGGTAAAGAGTCAAAAGGTTAAATTAATGTGATTAGGGAAAGATGCTATGAATCTAAGGTTGAGGAGGATCACATAGTTCATGTGAGAGTGAGAGTGCCCTTTAGGAGCCAAAAGATGAACCTAGCCGTATGCATGAAGGTGAGTCATTAAGGAGAAATTTTGCTCACGGGGTTACACTTTCAAATCTAGTATTATCATTCGTATATATGAAATCTAGCTTGCCTTCAATTAATTTATATATGATTATGATTATCACAAAAAAGCAATTGCATATTGTATATACTTACTATAAAGTAAAAACCAAATCAAAATTGACCTATATATATATATA